AACAATACAAGAATAGAAATACGGCTTAATGCAACATATCATTGAGTTAATGTAAATTGTCAAGAATTGAAATGTACGCGTGATGTAGAAATTCGGTGTCGGATTGTAGATTTAAGCCATTTTTTTGTAATTTTATGTGTAGCATTTCAGAAATACGTCGTCTATGTAAAAAACGTTCACTATCGACAATCTCAGTGTTCTCCCAATCAAAATCGTGGCCATGCTCCAATCTGTGTTCTGTGATAACTGAATAATTGTTATTGCTTTTTCTGATATCATTTCGGTGTTCTGTGATTCTAGTTTTCAACTTTCGCTTAGTCTGGCCGACATACGAAGCATCACAATCATTGCAGTTAATTTTATAAACAACATTCTTCTTTGACATGTTCGGTAACGGATCTTTATGTGTTTTAATGAAAGAGTTAAGCTTGTTAAGACTAAAGAAAGCCATGCTCACATTGAGATTCTTCGTGATATCCTTAAATTTCTCAGAAATTTTCGACACAAAAGGGACCAAAAACCACGACTTTTTAACAACTTCAACGGGAGTTTCAGTCATAACTTTTTGTTTTATTATGTATCTTCGTCTTATTATGTATTAATGATTTTAGACGTTCATTAATTGTGTTGAAAATGAAATCAACCGGATAATCATTGTTCAACAATGTCTCTACTACAAAAATCAGGTTCTTTTTATGATATTTAGGAACCGATAACAAAAATGCTCTATCAACCATTCCAATGATCGTTCCTCTTTTTTGTGAAATTGGATGTTGAGAAAGAAAATTTAAATATCTCCCAGAAAATGTGGGTTTATGGTACCAATCATATTCCAACGTATTATTATTTTTTATAATCGTAACATCCAAAAAGTTCAACTCACTCCCCCCTATCTCCATCGTAAACTGCAGACGAGGATGAAATGAGTTAAACACCCGTAAAATCTCCAAAGTTCTGTCAAGGGGTACTCCCATGGCAATGTCATCAACATATCTAACATAAAAAGGGATATGAAACCCTAAGGTGTTCAAAGCTTTCATCTCTATGTCCTGTAAAACAATGTCCGCAATTACCGGTGACAAAGGTGAGCCCATAGGCATACCAAATTTTTGTCTGTAAATGCAGTTGTCAAAGGAAAAATAAGCAGAGTCAAAAATTAGCCGTAAAGAAATAAAAAATTCATCTTTCGAAATGTTAGTAATTTTTGAAATTGATGACCATCTATGAGAGATGCTGTCCAAAGCTAAATCAATCGGTATGTTCGTGAAGAGAGAAACAACGTCCAGTGAAATTAAGCCAAAGCCACCAACTCTGTCTTCCTCAAAATCTCAGTCAAGTGGAAGCTATTTTGTATGTGACTGAAAGAATTAGCACTGATTTTATAAATGATTTTATGTAAAAAGACAGCCAACTGATATAAAGGACTATCAATAGCAGAGATAATAATTCTGAGAGGTGTGTCCGGCTTATGGATCTTAGGAAGTCCATAGGCACCAGGCAACACCCCATCACTCACATATAAATTATTATAAATATGTTGTGAGATCAATTCTTTTTTCTTCCATCTAGTCAGTAATTCTTTCAGCCTCCTAGAAAGTACGTTAGTAAGGTCTTTTTTAACGATTTCATATGTATTAGTATCCCCCAGTATTGTAAGCATTTTTTGTCTATAATCTGCTTTATCCATTGCCACCGTCACATTTCCCTTATCAGCTCTGGTGAGTATGATGTCACGATTATTGTTCAAGAAAGTTTTTGTTGATTTCCACATATCTAAGAGGTTATTTTTTAAATTATCACAACGGTTAAAACACGACGAAAGATTATTAATAATAGGTATAATATGATTCCTAACATCCAAACGTTCACTAATGTGCAATTTGTTTGTACTATTTTCTATGTTTTTTATAAATTCTAATGTTGTTTTTTTATAACTGAAAGAGGGTAAAGAGAAATTTTCCCCTAGTTGTAATAGACACTGTATTTTTGTCGGAATGTGAATTGAAGTCAGATTGATAAACCAATTGTTTTTTAGATTCGTCAATGATGAAAATTAAAACTATTCAAATTAATTTCTGAAGGATCAATGAGAACATCAACTATGTTGTCATTTTTTCTGTACTCAATCAAGCTAGGGGATATTAATTGATTAATATTCTCAAATTTATCTGTCAAATTGTTAGAAATCTTCTGGTTAAAATTCGATAAGTTATAGTGAATCGGTTTCGTCTTGCAGACTATGTCTTTGTTATGTTGTTTTAAAAGCCAATTCATTTTCTTAAACAGTCTAGCCGAGTCCCGTTCAAATAAAGCTGTAAAATATCTATTTTGTCTTGCTAAGAATTCTTTGACTATGTAAAACGGAATATGATGCGTGATTCTTCTCATTAATTGGAAAGATTGTTTTTTGGAATGGTTGATTGATCTATGAGCATCATTTAATTCAACATGAAGTATCCGGTTGATGTACTTTTGTGTCATGTGAGAGAACTTGTTGACCATTTTATAATGTGCTAAATAGAGTTTATGGTTACGGATATAATAGAGATGTTGAGGTACAATATTTTCCCGTATACAAAATTTCAAGAATTTTATGCGAATATTATTCTTAACAATATTCTTTTGATGTTTAGACCATAATTTCATAAACTTTAAACCAAAAGGACCGAAAGTCAATAATATAAATCCAAAAAATGAACAATAACGTTGACGCATACTTTCAGCCAGCGTAAATTCAATATAAGAAATACAAATAAACTCTCGAGAAGGTCAAAATATAAACAAAGAAACAGGCAACTGAGAGTTATATCGCTGTAATTCGTGCGAGCAAAAGATTTATTAAGTACCAAAAAAAACCAAAAACCAGACGTTTCGGCTTACATTCGAGCCATCCTCAATGTATCTGATCCATATACTGGATCTATTCTGTTTTATATGTATTGTTGGATGTATTCTGTTTTATATACTATTCTGTTTTATATATATGTGTTTATTGATAACAATGCATTTTCAGCATTAATTTGCGATTTGTTTAGGTGTTCTTCGCAACATAGATATGTGAACATGATAGAATAAAAATTCTCACTGTTTTACATCATGTCTTTCGACATTTTAAGTTTCTTAATATCGCGATAATATTAGCGTTTTCCTGCTATTGTTCTCAATTGTTAGCGTTATAAAATTACGAAAATTGCAGTCGCATCGTTGGCCATTAGCAGTTAGTTTACGAAACATGAAACATTTAAAAAAACTGTTTAAGTCCTCCGACATATATTTATTATAATCTTTATTATAAATTATAATTAATACGTTGCCGAAGATTCTCTGCAATCTTCGATTTTTAGAAATATTTAAAAAAATTAATTTTGTTGTGGAATAAGTATATTTGCATAATATATTTTATTTGTAGATATATACTTTGTTAAAGAAAATAAATAATAAACACAAAATATATTCATGAAAATGGTTTAAAAAGTGCAATTTTCATACGTCATTTTTAAATTTCATACGTTGAATATATATGAACGTATATTTACTTTTATTGGATTTTTAAACATACTAACCAAGACTCCTTATAAATCAAAGAATTGGAAAGAATACGGGCTTTAGGAGTCAGGCGCAGAAGACGTTGCGCAAATAATACACTTATGAAGCTTGAAACTTTTTTATTTAACAAACGCGCTTTGTTAAATAAAGAAGTTTCAAGCTTCATAAGTGTATTATTTGCGCGACGTCTTCTGCGCCTGACTCCTAAAGCCTATATTCTTTCCAATTAATTGTAATGTTATAATGCATATTTTATTTATTTGTTGATTTTGGAATAATGATTACTTGAATATATTAGGTTTTCTCAAACGTTTTTGAGTGTATATGCTTTACTACACTCATTGATTCCGATATATACAGCGTGATTAATCGGGAAACAACGATGTATGCATCGATACGATAATACACATTGTGCTCGGTGTGATATTCTTACGTCACGTTTATTTGCGCTCCGATTACGTAGCTGATACAATAAGAGCAAACGTCATTAAATACATGCGCGCATATAAAAGATATTAATAAAAAAATTTAGGCATGATATATTCCACGATAGAGACTGCGTATATAATAATTAAGTCAATGATTTTGTTCTCGATTAATTTTAATTTATTAATGAAAAAGTCTTGTGTGGAAATATAATCGCTTATACATATATATATATAAAAGTATCATCCTGTAGATTGTATTTTGATTTTTTTATAAAATGACATTCTGATATTTAAAGATGTAAACATTAATATTTTGTTACAGTATCCAATGACGACTGTACTTTACGATCCCAGCTGTAAGAAGGAACCATCTACAGGAGCATCTACGCAATACGGACAGGAGAAAGAAATCTGTATGAAATTGTTCGAAAGATGGAGCGAATCAGAACAAGTGCAGTTTGTCGAACAGCTGTTAGCACGAATGTGTCATTATCAGCACGGACACATCAATGCGTATTTAAAACCGATGCTGCAGAGAAACTTTATTTCGCTTTTGCCGAGTAAGTAATCAGACACGTACGTTTTACGCTCAACATTTTTTTTATACTTTCTTTGCGCGCGTTTTGAATGATATTTCTAATTGCATCTTTAACGACTTTAACAATATCAAATGAATGATTTATAGAAAAAGGATTGGACCACGTGGCAGAAAATATTCTGTCTTACCTTGACGCAAAATCACTTGTTTCTACAGAACTAGTATGCAAGGAATGGCATAGGGTTATTAGTGAAGGAATGCTTTGGAAGAAGCTGATTGAACGTAAAGTTCGAACGAATTCAGTTTGGAGAGGTTTAGCTGAAAGGAGAGGATGGTGAGTGAAAATATATGATATATATGTATAAACTACAAAACTTGTGGCAAATAAATACAAATATGATACGTACACAAAGCATTTTGACATTCTGACATATAAAATGTATGTATAATATTTCTTTACATTTTTTTTTATTTAATTTGTGAACTTTACTTTCAGGATACAGTATCTTTTTAAACCGAAACCAGGCGAAGCCCATCCCAATCACAATTTCTACAGATCTCTTTACCCAAAAATTGTCAAAGACATCGAAAGTATGGAGAACAATTGGAGAATGGGTCGATTTACTCTTCAAAGAATCAACTGTCGTAGCGAGAACTCTAAAGGCGTTTATTGTCTGCAATATGACGATCAGAAGATAGTTTCCGGACTCCGAGACAACACGATTAAGATCTGGGACAGAAATACTTTACAGTGTATCAAGGTGTTGACAGGCCATACGGGTTCTGTGCTTTGTTTACAGTATGATGATAAGGCTATAATATCCGGTTCCTCAGACAGTACTGTGAGAGTTTGGGACGCTACTACAGGCGAGATGGTTAATACGTTAATTCATCATTGTGAGGCAGTACTGCATCTTAGATTTAACAATGGCATGATGGTAACTTGCTCAAAGGTCAGTCAAAGAGAAGCGATGAATTTTTACATATTTTCTAATTTTTATTTAGTGGGATTTCATTACTGACAATAATTATCATTTGCAGGATCGTTCTATAGCAGTCTGGGATATGACATCGCAGACAGAAATTGCGTTGAGAAGAGTATTAGTAGGGCACAGAGCAGCAGTGAACGTAGTTGACTTTGATGAAAAGTATATTGTTTCTGCCAGTGGTGATAGGACTATCAAAGTATGGAACACCTCTAATTGCGAATTTGTGCGAACATTGAACGGACATAAACGCGGCATAGCGTGTTTGCAATATAGAGATCGCTTAGTAGTTAGTGGCAGTAGTGATAATACTATACGACTGTGGGACATCGAGTGCGGCGCTTGCTTACGTGTTTTAGAAGGGCACGAAGAATTAGTGAGATGTATTCGATTCGATAGTAAGCACATCGTCAGCGGTGCTTATGATGGGTAGGTAAATCAAAATCCAAATATCTCAATTCTGATTTTAATTCTATGTTGGCAAACGTGAAATCATAGCTTTAAGCAACTAGAAAATTTATATATGTACGTATGCATCTCACACACACACACACACACACACACACACACCACACGCACGCACGCACCACATGCACGCACGCACACGCACACATCCATACTTATAAGATATTTGATTCCTATTTTTTTTAGAAAACTAAAATATAATTTTTTTTTTATAACGTATTATGTTTAATGTACACAAAAAAACAAAAAATAATTAATTCTATATTATAATTGATATTCATATTAGATTTTACACTGATAATTTAGAGTGGAATTGAAAGAGATGCAAATTTTGCTTCAAGAACGCACTATAATTTTACAAACTCATGAGTAATTAAACTCATTTATTATTGTATTTTGCAGAAAAATCAAAGTTTGGGATCTTGTAGCCGCTCTTGATCCTCGTGCTGTTGCTAGTACATTATGTTTACGCACTTTAGTGGTAAGATATTTTCGTACGCACGCGTATTTTCTTATTTATTATATATATTATATTTAATCAGCGATTTGTCAAGCGCTCCACTGAATGACAATTTTCATTCATTGCTAATCTCATTTATATTTCTTATTATAGGAGCACACCGGGCGTGTGTTTCGTCTTCAGTTTGACGAGTTCCAAATAGTTTCATCATCTCACGATGATACGATACTAATTTGGGATTTTCTTAATTACAATCCATCAAGCGGAAGTGTATGCAGTGGACGCCTACCGATGGATGGAATGCCGAACCAAGCTGATACTAGATCTCCTTCCCGTAAGTATGCTACCAAAATTGGAATTTTTAATATACACTGAGAAAAGTGGATGGTTAAAAACGGATAAATAAAAAAATTTTAATCATATAAAAATTCTCAATTAGAATTATAGATTCAAATTTCAGAAAATTCTGATTTGTCTGTCTTTAACCAGAATTTTAATGAATACAACCAGATTGTTTTTCCAGTGTATATTAATTAGCGCCGAAACACTATTGTATCCAGATTATTAAATATAAAAATTGTTAAATATAAATAATATTCTTATTTGCAGCATTTGAGTGACGCATCAATACGGAAATTCCTTTATTGTGATATAATTGTAAGTATATTTTATGAATTATCCGATTATCGCTTGCAGGTAAGATTTAAAAGCAATTTATTCAATATAAATATTCATGTAATAATTCTAGTAAAAATATATGAAAAAATAAATTGCGCGGAATTAATCACAATTGATTTTCTATTTCAGACAAGTGGTTAGATGAGTGAATCCAATGTGTTCACGACAATGTGCGCAAATAATGAAATATCCGATGATGAGTGTTTAATGTAAACAACAACAATTATACACAGAAATGTCTGAAGGAAAAATTTGGTTGATTAATGACTTTGATTTATGTTTGCTAGGACAGCAAAAAAATTCTTCAAGAAATAGGAAAGTAAAATGGATTGACTTACGTGAAACTATGAATTATAATTTATATATGCGCTTGACGCACCACGTTTAGGAACAAACAGTATATTTAAAGCTGCATAAATACATCCCATGGATGTAAACGATTGTCGTTTGCTTTGGCCATATCTGGAATTCTTCTACGCTCTGTGACATGATAGAAGTCAAGACCATTTTCCTACAAAATGAAAAAAAGGAAAGACTTACAATACGTAATGTAGCGAAGCGCTTTTAGGGAGGCTGAATATTACACTTAATAAGACATTAGATGTATTATAGTAAAAGGAATTAATGATTTTTTATATAATTAATTTATGAGATAAAAGAAATTGTAAAATGTTGTTTGATTGGAGTACTTATGTTGTGTGAATGTGTAAAAAAAATTTGTTACATGAGAGGATGATCGTGTTACACCCTCTTGTAAATGGCTCGTACAAAGTGCTATGTACCCATATTTAGAATTGCGAAAGAAACTATTGATTGAATGTATAATAGGTTTTTTAGCATTTAAATTTTGTGAAATTTATTTAAAAAGCGAGTGAAGAGCCAACAACCTCTGCACAGCCTACATTTGGTATGATACCATTTGCATTTAGAATATAAAAATTACTATTGCAAAATGTAAATATTATTTTCATTATTATATTCATACTGAAAACAAATATAGCGTGCGATCCTAAATTATCTTAATTATTGTAAAAAAATAAAAAGAAACGCTATTATTATATCTTGACCATTGATCTCGTTTAACTCATTTTATTCGCGCTTTGTACACGTAAGTTGCTCATTGTTATATTTATCTAAATTATCAATCGAAAATGTGAATTGATGTTTTTTATTTTTCTAGGAGTTTAAATTTTTAATTTTTTGCAATTTGGTATTTCACTGAAATGAAAAAAAATATTCTTTAAATATAAAAAACTTTAATTGCAAACAAACGAGACTTATTGTTTATTTGAATTTATGTACATAAATGAACATACAGCATATGTAGTTTAAATGATATCATTATGCCCAAATGATTGTGATATTATAAAGCAATTAATGCTTTTTGTGAACAGCATTTGCTAATATACATATATATATATATATATGCAATTATTATATGCATAAGATGCAACTAAAGTTTTATAATATACACAATACTTTGAGCGTTATAGTAAAGGCAAAACGTCTTTGAATAATTGATATTAAATAGTGCTACACAGTGTTAGTATAACTATATGAAAGTAAGATACTCAGAGAGAGAGAGAGGGGGGGAGGGAGGTGAAATACCGAATTATGTTTTTCAAATATGCGTTAATTATGGTCAGTAAAAAATGCCACGTAATATAATCGCTTACGAACTGTCTGTCAATAAATATGAGTTATACAGAACAAATTGTCACAGAAAATAATAATACATATTTCAAGTTGTAATATTACAATGATTCGAGTGTTTTAATCCTATAATAAGATACAGAAGGAAGTTTACATTTTGATTTCAATGTATAATTTCGTTACGTTCATCTCACAATTTTATACGAACTATGTATACAGAATGAATTTACATATTAATGCGCGTCGAAGGCAATACTAAATTTACATTTAAAATATACAAAATTTGTTTACTCTCGTAATGCATAACTAAAGGGAAAAAATGAAATATATACAGATACAACATATATTTGTACTCAATTCGTTCGTATAATGTTTCTATAAAAAGAAAACAAGAGAAATTAAGGAATTGCCTACAAACTGGATACAAACCTAGGAATTTGAAAAATTAGTACAATTGGATGGGAATTTGTATAATTTTGAAGTATATACATATAGATAGATATGTGTGTGTATATACATATTATGTATACATGCATACGGTATCAATGCACAAGCAAGCATACTTTTGTGGAGTACGGCATACGTAGATTCTTGTGTTTACTTCTTTCAATGAATAGACAAAATAATAGTGATGTAGTCAGACATTAACATACTCTTGCATTACATGAACATAGAATTTTCTTCATTATTTTTCCGCTATCTGATAATGCGTATGTAGGTATTATCAAAAAAGATATGATTGCTTATACCGTGTCTTCCTAATTAGGATACGGAAATTCTCTTATCTTTTGTCTTTTTTTTATTGGAATCTAAGAGATCTTGGGGTGGAAAAAAACGTCTGCTGCATCTTCTACAAAAATATATACCCATCAAATTAATTTTCGAAAAAATCGAGCAAGAAATACAATAAAGAGTGTAAAATAGAGCCAAATATTTGAAGATATAAAATATCGGACGTAATAGTTAAGAAATTACATGAATTTATACCTTATAAGAGCATCGTGACACGCACTGCGATCAGATCGCAACGTAAACGTTTGCGATTGTCGAAAATACCAGTAAAAATACTTTTAAGAAGATATTGTGATGCTTTATTGTTAATATCGACATGAATCTTCGTGTATATGAGAATAACTGACTAGAGAGGATACAAAGGCTGTGCAAAAGCTATATTCGAAATATAATACCTACACAAGAATATAGAGGATTTTTTATAAAATCCATTATTATCTTATCCTTCTGTATACAATGATGTGCATATATTTAACCATGCTATAAAATTCTATAGTCGAGTTCAATAATAAGTGAAAATAAGTCGAATGTATTACACATAAATTGCTTAGTTTTTTTAAATACTGTGGACTCCAATACATATGGGGCATTCTTTCTCAACCGGACACCCCCCTCTGCCCAGAATTCATATGAACCAAAAAAATTTTTTCAGGGCTGAAAATTTAGCTAAACATGTCTACTTTTATTTGCCGTGTGGCTCCTTTCAAAATTTAAAATGGCGGCGCGTCCACACTCCAAAATACAGGAAAACTATTTCATATTTTTCCTATTATGTGCAAAAAAAGTATTACAGCGTATATTAAAAAATTATTTTTGTTACGAAAATTGGTAATTAGTTTACCCACTTTAAATTTATTTAATACAATTTTGGGAATTCAAGATGGCGTTTCCAAAATGGCGGACCAAAATAAAAAATTCGCCTGTTTCGGGTGAAACTCGGTACTTGGGGGTTTTCGAGGTCACTGATTACGAATCTGCAGTCAATATTCGAAAATTCAAAATGGTAGACCCAATATAACCGACCAAAAAGCGTAATATCACTTGATCCTAATGAAATTTATAATAAAAAAATGTATCGAAATAACAAAATTTCAATCTCTAACTACAAATAATGACCGACTCGCAGTAAACGCCAACGATCATGCGCACGCGATCAGTGTACATCCGTTTAGCACGTGCTCATCAACGAATATACCGCGGCAGTCAAATCGCCTACAAAACTGATAAAATGGCAATTTAAAAAACACATTCGAAACAGTTCTAAAAGAAATAATTACTAAAACTATTTTAATAAAAAATCGAAATTTTTGGTCGGTCATATTGGGTCTACCATTTTGAATTTTCGAATATTGACTGCAGATTCGTAATCAGTGACCTCGAAAACCCCCAAGTACCGAGTTTCACCCGAAACAGGCGAATTTTTTATTTTGGTCCGCCATTTTGGAAACGCCATCTTGAATTCCCAAAATTGTATTAAATAAATTTAAAGTGGATAAACTAATTACCAATTTTCGTAACAAAAATAATTTTTTAATATACGCTGTAATACTTTTTTTGCACATAATAGGAAAAATATAAAATAGTTTTCCTGTATTTTGGAGTGTGGACGCGCCGCCATTTTGAATTTTGAAAGGGGCCACACGGCAAATAAAAGTAGACATGTTTAGCTAAATTTTCAGCCCTGAAAAAATTTTTTGGGTTCATATGAATTCTGGGCAGAGGGGGGTGTCCGGTTGAGAAAGAATGCCCCATATATATATCATAAAATAATATTAGGTGTTAAACTTAATTCTTGCCGTTTTTCGTCTCCAAAATTGATTTGTTTTGAAGGGAAATACCTTAATCAAAGTATTATTAATAAAGTATTATTAATTAGTAATAAAGTAGAAAATGGAGGAAATTACTTTGATTAAGATATTCATTCATCTTCCCTTCGAAACAAATCAATTTTGGAGACGAAAACCGGCAGGAATTAAGTTTAACACCTAATAACTAAAAGAGTTAAGTACTTAGTTTTATTGTTTTATTAATCTCTAGTATACACGATGATTTTTAGCACTTTACTACATATGATGGGTCTTTCATGTTCTGAGTTCATTTTCATCACTTTTATAAGTATATAAATTATTAAATGATATTTACATATACTTTAACATCTTTAAAAGTATTTATAAAATTGTATATAAACGTTATAACTAATTATAGTCAATAAAATGAGAAAAATGCACTTTCATATAGCAAAACTGTGAAACAAAAATGTTTAAAGGAAAAATATGTTTCAATATTTTAAAGTTGATATTCCAAACTACAAAAGAAAAGATAGTTCCAAGTATCGGCTGTCCAAAAAAGTTTAGTTATTAAGTAGTCCGAAAGTAACATTTTTTAGTGTATAAATGGGTTTAAATTGAACGTTTATTGCATTTTAAACAATGCGTTATATATCATTAATATTGCATTACGAAAAGTTACAACTTAATTAAAAAACATTTTTTAATTTTTATTTGAATAGTTTTGAATTTTTATTTATATTTTTAAAATATTTACAGAATTCTACACATACATTTTTTAACAGTTCGTGAAATTTTTACAATGTAAACGAGAATTAAGCCAGCACCGCAGTGCCAGCATCGCAGCCAATACGGTGAAAAGAATCTAATCCAGCTAACAATCCAACAAGAAAACAAGCATCGTGTGTCGCCGGCTTTAGTTGAAAATAAAATAGATATCTTTTAGACGTTTTATGTCTTAATTTTGGATATTTGTCATCCGAATATTTTGATTGAAATGGACATAAGAATGCAATACGTTCTTCATTTAATTTATCCTCGTTCAACGAATGTTAAAATAATATGTGCCAACTCTACTCGGTACACTATGTTCCATATTTCTACATATAGGACTATATTTCAGTGCCATAGTACTGAGAGTCAAGGCTTAAACACAATAGGCACAGGCAACAGGGAATAACGAACCATCCAATCAGAGCTCTGGAATTTAATATTAAACTTACACACCAGAGCTCTGATTGGACGGCTCGTTATTCCCGTTGCCTGTGCCTATTGTGTTTAAGCCTTTAATCATGTAATTTTTTTCGGGAGGATCCCGTTTGCCTACAGTTCTGATTGTACACACCGGGAGGGCACCGATTGCACACATCGCATATTGCACACATGTATCGCTGATTGGCCAATTTAAAAATAAAATAATCTCATTGGCAAAACAGTAAACAATTACTAG